TAAAATACATTCACAAATGTATCATGATTTCACAAATATTTGTCCGTTATTTGAAAGATTGAACTGTTGAATTCAAATGTAATGCTATGGAAAAGTATATAACATGATTCCTATAAGCTTGTGTTACATCACATAAGTATTATTATCATTGCTATTTAGGGCGATCTTGGCTCAAGAGTTGGCAGTTCGCCTTGTGATCAGAAGGTTGCCGGTTCGAGCCCCGGCTTGGACACTCTTGGCATTGTGTCCGTGGTCAAGACTCTTCACCTACTGGTGATGGCCAGAGAGGCCAATGGTGCGATATGGCAGCCTCGCCTCTGTCTGTCTGTCCAGGGCATGCAATCCATTATTATTTAAACCAACAGTTAACTGTATATTTCTGTACCTTTACGTATTATGATTCATATTGCCACATGTTTATAGGTAATTTCATTGTTTGATCACGTTAAAATGTTCCTAATTTAATGTCTAAAAGCACTTGGAAAAGGCAGAATCCCATATAAAATTAGCGCACCAAACTCTATTTTCATTACTGAAAATAACTGTATTTTCATGAGAAAGTTATTTTCTGTTATTTTATGGTAGTATTTTGGCGCCCCAGCTGCCGGAATATTACCATTTTTTTAGGATTTTTTTTTTCTTTCTATTTATAGATAATTTCATTGTTTAAACACATTAACATGTTCCTAATTTAATGTTTAAAATCACTTGAAAAGGCAAGATCCCATGTAAAATTAGCGCAACAAACTGTATTATCATTACTGAAAATAACTGTATTTTTATGAGGAAGTTATTTTCTGTTATTTTATGGTAGTATTTTGGCGCCCCAGCTGCCGGAATATTACCATTTTTTTAGGTATGTTTTTTTAACAGTGTAGCAGTACGATTACCCTGTCTGCACTCAACAAAGTGTGATGAATAACTCTAAGTAACACTTTTTCTCAAATGTGTTTGGGTTTTTCTAAAGCCAGACTGAAATTTAGTTCCCTTCCATTACCTCTAGGAGTCTGTGGAAGTCTTTAAGCGAACCCTTTGCAAGCACATTGGAAGTAAACGAGGGAAAAGTATCATGCTGGATATCTGGACTCATTTGGACTGAATAATGTGTTAGGCCACATCGCTTCATGGAAATGAAAATTATCAACTTGCAGAGGGCTGAATTCAAAGACACCCCGAAAAGTGAAAAAAATATTCGACAGACTAGTTGATTTTGTCAAAATTTCACTATTTTCACCATTTTCACTTAAAATGGTAATTTGTATGGCCCACATGTGGTTGTATGCATGCCTGAAAATATCAGGGCATGCTCCAAACGAGACAACAGATGGTGTCCAGGGGTCTCCTCCCAGATCTGCACCAGGCTGGCCAGTCAATGGAGGAACTGCCTGTATACTCTCACCACATGAGGCCGAGCATTGTTGGAGGCACCCATGCGTCAGCACGGGTTCTGACAATGAGTCCAAGGATTATATCTGGATATCAAATGTCAGTCAAGGTGCTGTTGCCTAGTGTGTAGAGAACTAAGCAATCCCTCCATGGATATGCCTGCCAAGACCATCACTGACGCACCACCAAACCAGTCATGCTGAACGACATCACAGGCAGGATAATGTTCGAAGCTCCCCCAGACTA